CAGGGTTCGAAGGACTTCACCAGGGGTGATGTCAATGCTGCTGAGAGTGGGTACTGGTTCAGTGTTTCTTGCTGTGTATGTTTGAAGCTGTGCAATGTGTGCGTTTGTGATGTCAAGTTGTGTTTGTGAGGCAAAGTATGTATTCAGCATGGTGGCTTTGTCAGTGTCAGTTGTCGCTGTTGTGCCATCGTGTTGTATGAGTGTCGGTATGGAATGGTTTTGTTTATGACCTGTTATGTCTCTTAAAATTTTATGATATTTGTGAGGGTCGTGTTTGTTCTGAAGTAGAAGTGATACTTTATTTTTTACATGCCCCCCAACAACATATGCCCCCCCCCCCTAGGGCGAAGTTGGCTGAGACTGCCACTGGGGCGCGGGTTATTAACTCCTTACAGGAGCAATATACAGCCGCGCAGATAGTCTCATTGTGTTGAACTCATCAAGGCGCATCGAATTACATACGTAATGACCTTGAGGTCACGTGACGTTAGGTCAATGTTTGACCTTGACCTTTCGAGATCAACACCTATTTGTTTCGATGCGGATTGACGAGAGGATCACGATGGTGCTCTTAGTTTGTTCCTAACGTGGCTATTTCGAAAATGTTTAGAGAAAAACTCATATCTACACTGAGAAAAAAAATTATTCCCCAGGGGTGTTTTACGGGTGTCAGACACCATTGGAGGTGTCATCGAACACCCAGATTGGTGTTGAAAAATGCTGTTTAGGGAATCATTAAGGTGTACAACACCACGATGACACCCTTTCAAGTGTTCGTTCGCATGCGAGCGTTTAGATATACCTTAATGGGATTCAGCATGACACCTTAATAGGTGTCCGACACCCACACCCATCCGGGTATCAAACACTCTAAGGTATCAAACACCCTAAAAGGTGTCAAAAATGTTCTTTTAAAAGCATCTGACACCCTTATGATGCCTTCACAGGTGTTGCCATTTATTGAAGCGGAATGTTAAGAGTGTCCGACACTGCTAGAGGTGTCACATTGACACTTGCAAAAGGATCTGACACCAAAAACAGCGTGAAAAAAATGAGGAAAAATATTCCCATGGGGTGTCTCACGGGTGTCGGACATCATTGCAGTGTCATATAACGCCCAGATTGGTGTCAAAAATGTTGTTTTGGGAATCATGGAGGTGTACAACACCACGATGACAACCTTCAAGTGCAACGCGCTTTTAAACACACCATGATGGGATTCAGAAAGAAACATTAATGGGTGTCCTACACCAACATCCATTCGGGTGTCAAACACCCTAAACCATCAACACTTCAAAAGGTGTAAACAAAAATGTTCCTTAAAAGGGATCTGATACCCTTGTGATACCTTCACGTGTGTTGTCATTTGTTGAGGAACATTCCAGCATGAGTCATGAAATGTTTGAAAGCTGTCGTGTATTCGAACCTAAATCATCACATAAATTGTTCTGACGTCACTTGTGTTAGGAACCAGGGATGCGGTGTCTAACGGATTTTCAGTGACTCGCACTCCCGCTCTGTCTTCCAAAATGGACTCCTATTCCGGCCAGAACTGCCAACTCCATCAGACTCCGACTCTGACTCCGTAGCACTGCTAGAAACCACAGCAGGTCCAGTGGTTTGAATCATTACCCAATCAGCAAGCTTCATTGTGTGACGTCATTTGTGTGCTAGTCACGGCGTCAACCATGCGAAGATCAAAAAGCGCCACCTTGCAGGAAAGCCGTTAGAGTTCAGTTGGCGGCGGCGTGCCACGTGGTGCGTGTGCGGTGTGAGTGATGGCAGGGCTTTTTTTGAATTTATGTGGATATAGTGGCGCCGAACGTTGTTCGCAGTGTACTTCTTCAAGTGATTGTGCGTTAATGATAATGTTTAGCTTTTATTTGTAGCTTGCTCCGTGTTTATTCAAATGACGAGGCGGGCGGTACTCGGTGAAATTTGAAGTCTGGAGTGAGGATGACAACACAGCATTGCACCATGGAAACGAAAGCAAGTGAACTGCGGAATAACATCTGGTTGGAGATAATCGACGGTTAATTATCATTGCTGAAATGCGAGCAACTTCTCACTGTGAATGGACCCGATGTGTTTCGGTGAGTTTTCATTGGATTTCTCCGTAAATATAGGGCCCATATTTTTTGTACTTTATAGTTTGTTGCTGTATACAAGATAGGAATGCCATTGTATGCGATATGCCTGTTTGAACCAATAAATGTAAGAATGTGTCGACACCTTTTTTTGGCATCCAATGGACACTCTCGTAACACCTTTAAGGGTGTGTACCAAACTGCACCTCGCTGGGGTGTCAGACGGGTGTCACTTTTGACACCAATACAGGTGTCATTGGGAATCAAACACCGGGTGTCTGACACCCTTTTGGGTGTGCACCCAAAAGGGTGTCAGACACCCGGTGTTTCATTCCCAATGACACCTGTATTGGTGTCAAAAGTGACACCCGTCTGACACCCCAGCGAGGTGCAGTTTGGCACACACCCTTAAAGGTGTTCCAGGGGAATAATTTTTTTTTCTCAGTGTAGCGCCACTTATTCTACTTTTTTATCCCCGTCAAGTCATCTTTGACCTGACCTAAAAATGATCTCAGTAAAAATTGCAGACCTTGTCCTAATGCTGTTAATCACTTGTCGCTATCTTGGTTCGTTCTCAAGATGTCAGGGGGAGCACTTGTCCGCACCCCCCCCCCCCCCCGTCGGTGCGAAGTTGGCGCGGACACCGTCAGTAATCCAACCTTTGCACATGTCAAAAGAGAAAGGAATAAGCCTGGAGTAATCATTCAGTGTGGCCTAGTGGATACGGCGTTAGTCTCCTGCACAGGGGAGCAATGCCGCTTCAACCCTATTGGCCGTAGTGTCTAACGGTGGCGGCCATATTGCGCAGACCAGGAACCGGCTGCCGCCTGTGTTGAGGAATAGGGAATTCGGGACCTCGATTTACGTTTGCTGCCGCCGCATCCGTTACGTTCAAGTTACGTAGATACGGAACCCGGCATCTTACGCAGAATTGAATGGGGAACACGATCGTATCTTCAGAATTCCTCAAATTCACTCGCCGGACCTACATTTGCCCCGGCCGAAGGGGTTGATTGAACCCACCTCGCTAATGCGCCGCTAATTAAACTATAATTAAGCGGTAAAGTGGTCGTATGCGGCAAAGTATAATGCAAAATGACTGGTAGGAACCCGCTGTAAAGGTCTCATGTCAACCGGTGACCTCTGAGGTCAGGTCAAGTGATCTAAGGCATGGGTTCGGTTTTTGGTTAATAACTTCGCCAAAAATGGCCGTAGAGCCGCGATTTTGGAACCATCGTGTTCAGCTAGCTCAGGCGCATCGAGTGATATACTTTTTGTTCGGGTCAGGTCAACTTAGGGTGTTGACCTCAGGTCAAGGTCAGATCAGCACCCCCAGGTCACGAAGTTGGTCGAAAGAGGTCATGTCGCATATCATTCGCTTCGGCAGGTCTTCCTGAGTCCATTGGTGGCTTTCCCGACTCGCTAGCTCAATTTGATCGGGAGTTATTGAAGAAAAATTGTGACACTTGTGACGTCACAAATGACGTCACGCAAGGGCAACAATGCAAATATGAAGCATAGAACCTTGCAAGGAGTGCATGAAATCATGATTCTATATGCTTGAGATAGTTTCAGATCATTCTCGGCGCAAATATAGCAATTTTCATATTTCCCCATTGACTTATAAGGGTTTAACGTATTAGTTCCTTGTATCTGAGGATTTTTTAGGATTTCATCTTGTTCTCCACTCAATTCTGCGTAAGATGCCGGGTTCCGTGTCCACATAGCTTGAACGTAACGCATGCAGCGACCGCAAACGTAAATCGAGGTCCCGAATTCCCTATTCCCCAACACAGGCGGCGGCCGCTTCCTGGTCTGCGCAACATGGCGGCACCGTTGGACACCATCTGGCGGCCGATGCGCATTCCACATTATAGAGTTCAGTGGTCTCCTGACTCCGCAGCAATGAGTCCGTGGCCGGAGAGCACTCGTTATCGCGATTAGCTGGTGACTGCCTATGCATTTTACATAGAGGGCATCGCTGGACCCGGGAGAACGTGCCGCATCTGCCCAGGCTACATTATCACTTTTCACCTTCGCACTTACAGGGAGGTCGGAAGGGGCTCCCCCACCCCTCTCTGCTTCACAAATGACTCATGAGCCATGACCATGCCAGGGCAGAATGGCGATTTGACGCATGGTGGCGCAGATTTGTGAAAGTGCCTTTCCGAGCTTATTTGTGATCAGCCGCTACTTACTAGCCGCAAGCTCCCATACCTATGCAGTAAAGCCGCTATAAAAAGGCGAAAACTGGCGAGAGTTCATAGAGGATCCTGCACATCAGGAGGGTTTATTTCGCATGTTCGCCACTCGCGGCTATGTTTGTGGTCACGTTTGCTTCGTCAGTCGGCTATAACCTGCTTCACTGTTAGTGTGCTGGCTGGCAGAGATAACTGGCCTGGAAGACGCCGTCAGAGGTCGACCCGACTTCGCAGTACTCGGGCCGTGTCACAGTTCTCTGATCTGGAGGCCATTGCACCTGGTTATGATGGCGCATCTGACTTAAGACAGAAGTACGTTTTCTTACCTGCCGTTAAGGGCGGTCAAGACCACATACTTCCGCTGCTCCTGCACGTAACTGATTTATAACATCACGACACACATATTTGACTCATGCCTTACATAATAAAACGGACGGCTTAACAAGTAACTGCTGAATAAATTAGCTTTACGCATACTCGCCTGCGGCCACCTGTCACCTTACACCTTCCGCTGCAGGTGAGGATGACAGCCGCTGAGGCCAGTCACTGGGAAACAACATGACGTCATACACCGCAATAGTGACGTCATCAGGAGAGCGGCGGGCCTCCCAGGCCGGTTCGCCGGACACCTGGTGACGTCATGACCGGCTCAAAAGCGGCGCGGGTACGGTCGGTCGGCCAGTCGTTCCGTCGGCCCCACACCACCCGGACCATGCTCGTGGCGCTGACGTGGGCGGCTCTGGCGGCCAGCTGCGGCGCGTCCTCGCAGATTTTTTTCGGCTCCGTGACCGAACTGGTGCGCCGCTCCAGTGAGTGTGTTTTGTCCGACGGCCGCCAGGGGCGCTGCATGTACCCGAGCTCGTGTGAGGCGCTCTCGGGTCCGCAGCTGCCCGACTGTGTGAAGCCGTGCGCCATGGTGCAGCATGAGCTGAAGGTCTGCTGTCCGACGGAGGCCACCAGCAGCGGAGACACAACCATCAGGACCTGCGGCCGGCCCGGCACCCCGCCCACTCTGGCTCGCAACATCGCCTTCGGCCGGCGCTCGGCGCCCGGGCGGTGGCCGTGGATGGCGCTGCTCGGCTGGCGCGAGTCGACCGGCTCCGGTCGGCACCGCTGGCGCTGCGGCGGCGCCCTCATCAGCCAGCGCCACGTGCTGACGGCGGCGCACTGCGTGGAGCGCGCCGGCGCTCCGCTCACAGTGCGCCTGGGCGAGCACGACCTGACCGAGACGGCCGACGGCCGGCACCAGGACGTGCTGGTGGCGCACGCTGCCGTGCCGGCCGGCCGGCGCGGCCACCAACAAGACCTGGCGCTGCTGACTCTGGCCGAGCCGGCGCGGCTCTCGGCGCACGTGCAGCCCGTCTGCCTGCCGTCGTCGGCGGCCGACGACCCAGCCGTCGGAGACGATGTGGTGGTGGCCGGCTGGGGCCGCGTGCAGTACTCCGAGCCGCGGTCGGACCACCTGCGCGAAGCAGTGCAGCAGGTGCGGCCCACCGGCGAGTGCGAGCGCGCCTACCGCCGCGTGCCCGGCTTCGAGGACAACTATCCGGGGGGCCTGGGCTCGCGGCTGATCTGCGCGCTCGACACCACGGCCGGCCACCAAGACTCGTGCCGGGGCGACTCGGGCGGCCCGCTGGTGGCGCGCGCGACCGACGGCACCTACACGGCTGTCGGCGTCGTGTCTCTCGGCATGGGCTGCGGCAACCCGGCCTTCGGCAGTCTCTACACCCGCGTCTCCAGCTACCTGGATTGGATAGAACGGCAGATGGCGCGACCGCAAGGTGCCCATGGAAATACAACGGTCACAGTCGTAGCCAAGTAGTCAGATGTTCACATTTTTAGCTTATAGACCGTTGATGCTCTAGACAGCTTGTCATGATCTCAGATTATGCGTTCGCATTCTTGCAATACAGTTGCTAGTTGTTAAAATATTATTAGTTGAATATGCACACGGTTGAAGATATGTGACAGTCTCAATCTATTATGTATTGCATTTTATGATTCGATCTTGTTACTGCGAGCTGTTAATTATGTTTTGTATATGTTAGGTGCTAAATGTGAGATTCGGAAATAATGTAAATAATACGACATGTAGCAGTCTACTGGTGCTGGAGGATGAGCCACCTTAGTTGTAACACACTGGTTACAGTTACAAGAACGCCGAGCAGGGAGTTGGTTTGATCAGGACCCTGAAGCGGCACGTCGTTCAGGGATAGGTCATCGTACTTGGCCGCAAATCGAAAACGACTCTGATCTTGTCGACCATTTGGGGTGATACACCATGATGTGGTATGTACGACTACATACCACATCATATGTACATATGTATGTACGACTACATACGTACAATGTGCATACCAAACATACCACACACACGGCCGTCTGCCCTGCTCAGGCTTTCCTCCGGCACCTCCTCAGCGTAGTTCTCTTGCAACATGTTATCCATGAAGGCAACGTTGTCCTCTTTGAATCTTGTATTCTCAGTCAGTTTCTTTTTCAGACTGGAGTCAGTGCAGAGCCATGCGTATTTGGAAATTCCGACCTCGACGAGCATCTGTGGTAGAAAACCACCACTTTAGTAGGGGAAACTACTGCTGTATGCTACCATTTGCACTGCATGTGTCGCTATAGCTGCGACATCTATGCATAATGTATATACATATAAACCGCGACATCTGTGCCGCTGGGCGGGTTTACTCCAGACCAAGGCCCTAAAACACTCCAGACCAGTTTGCATGATCGTCGCCACACGCTGCTCCGGTGAGGCACTGCGTGTTGTTAGTCAATGAGACAGAAACTTCGAACGGCGGTCTGACTTGGGTCTGACATTTCCTTCGTTGAGTGCGGAGCCCACGAGTCATTTGGACCAAACTCCCACAGCACAAGCTGTAAAGAAACTCTCAAAGCTCCGGGAAAAAAAAAAACAAAACAAAAACGCCCTCATGACTATGGGATATCAATGCGGCGCTTAGTGAGACAGGCTTGCCCCGATTTTTTCGGCACAAACGGTCAGGTCAAGAACCGACTGTTGGCTAGCGATGTCAGCGGCCTCCTGGCGCCCGGGGAAGGCGCACACCACGAAGAGGGTCAAAAAACGAACACCCACCCACCTGACGGGTTTCAGGGTATGATACGCTGTTGGTCCCGTAGGGGCTGGGGATCCGCAAGTTTCAGTGCTCAAACGAATAGCCGGGCAGGCTCGTAACGCTGGCCTGATGTCGCTGCCGCGCCGGTGACGAAAGTGATGATAAACGGGGCAATTTTTAATGACTGGTGGATACGGGAGCTCAACGGACTTTGTTAGACTCAGAATTCAGAATTCAGAACCTTGGCCCCTCGAGAAACAGCGAGACGTGCAGCCTATCTCAACTCGGCGTCTGGGCATAATTTGAATGTGCTTGAAGTGTGTCCTGCCCGTAAAAATGCAGGCACCTACTATGGACGTCAAACCCCATGAGACCCCACTCACCCCACTATTTGCGAGGATTTTTAAATGCGTTAACTCTCGTTGACGATATTCTGACAGTATGTTTCAGATTCAGAACCTGCCGGAACTTTTATTACTTTAGTATTATGTGTACCCAATTTTCCCATCACATCGAAATTTCTCATAGAGCGGCCAATCCTCCAGATTTTCCTCCAGAATTGAAAATGCTCCAAAGGCGAAATTTCTCCGTCGAGTTCGAAATCCTCCATATAAGCGGAAATCCTCCAAATCCGGCAGCACTGCTCCAGGGCAGATAAGTTAAGATAGTGATGACGCAACTTGTTCCTTCCGTAGCTTTTTGCTGTTACTACATGTCAAGACACAAGCTCACTATCCCGTCCCGTCGGGCCCGGGCGTTCGGGCTCCTCCTTTTATACGTTCTTGGCTCTCATACGCTGTCAGCCGCCGGGCTCCTCCACTCCTCCATTCAGCCTTCAGTCATGCCTTGGAATACAACTGCGCTGGCAGCTAGACTAGACTTCATGGAATATTATACTAAAAATCGAATTTCTTACTAGATATGTCCTACATATTTAAAGTATTTAGGTACCTGGTTCAGAATAGAGTAAGGCATACCCAAGAGCATACCGAAGAATAAATAGGTGCCAGAAACATCTAAAATTAGGCCATTTTCCACGATTGGTGCCGGTATTACCACATGGGTGCTTAGAGAACCAGATGTAGGGCGGGGCGGACCCAGTGGTGTATGTTGGAAGAGCGCAGCACGGCGTCTCTGCGCGGCCTCTACGCGGAACTGCAGCAGACACAGCCGGAGGTCAGCTACCTGCTGACTGAGCACCTAAATCAGGACTGTCTGGAGAATTGCTTCGCGAAGCTGCGCAGTCTACGGTTCAATCACCAGTCTGGACGCGGTGAAAGCGCGCGCTCGTCTGCGCGTGCAGTCCATAGTTCATAGTTCTTCAATTCTACATAGTAGTCGCCAGCAGTGGATGCCGGTGGGACCAGAGCCTAACACCGGATAGATCAGCTCAGGCTATCAGGGATTGAACCAAGAAGAGATTGAGAATGGTTTACCTGTCCCTCGCGGATTAACTGAAAATTCAGTAACCTGCTTTCCTGTCTTCTTGCCACTGCATAACATGCTGTTTGAACAATTGAACCATTCCTAAATAATCTTAACCCGCGCCCCAGTGGCGGTCTCAGCCAACTTCGCCCTAGTGAGGGGGGGCATATGTTACCACCCACCTCTAACTCAAAAACTAAGAGGGCTAGAAAGACGCGGTAAAAAGCAGTCGATAGCTCTTAATGCGTACGTTTGAAAGTATTTCGGTCATTTTTCACCTTAGAGCAATATTGGGGTCACCAGAGGTCATCAAAGGTCAAAATTTGCCAATTGTCATTATATTTTTCAGAAAACATGCCGCTATCTCAGGAACTATGGTAGCTAGAAAAGCGCATGAAAGAGCACTCGATAGCTTTTGAACTCTTCTTTTGAAAAGGTCGTTATCAATATTGACCTCAGGTCAACGGTTTAGCCTCCAGAGGGCAAAAACTCCAAAAATAGCTGTTTTTACTTTAAGTGTTTTTCGACAATAACTTTCGACTACAAAAAGCCACGACATTTATATTGCCAGAATCGTGTTCCCCTCGCCGAGACGCGTCGAATGAACTATAATTTGACCTTGAAAGGTCAACTTGAAAATTTGACCTCAGGTCAAGGTCATGACCTGACCAGAAAAGGTCATGTTGCATATCAGTCGATGCGTCTCAACGACACAAACACAATGAGACCATCCCCAGCGTTCTATCTCTTTCCAATCGCGAGTTATTGGCAAAAAACTGTTTGTAGCCTCAAATGACCTCGGATGACCTTTCTAGAGGCTATCAGCAAAAATGACACCTTGGTCATCACGAGTGGACTAAATCATTGTGATTCTGAAATATTTGGACCGTTCCTATGCGTACACACGGATCTAGAGGCATTTTCATTTTTCTCCATTGACTTGTAATGGAAAGGTCACGCCACTGACCTGACCTTAGGTCAAGGATATAAAAAATCCGAGATATACACATTGTAGGCGCTCATAACAGCATGCAATCCACGAAGTTTAAAACCTTTCTGACAAACACTGCAGGCTGGACATGATTGCAAACTTTTTTTTAGGCTTGGTCAGTTTACTTGACCTGGTGACCTGACCTGACATGACCTGGGGTCAAAAATGTCACACATTGTCCAAAATTGATGTACCAAAAGCTACCCCAAGCGGCGCGGCGCTACGCGCCGCGGTTTTTTATTCACACGCGAAAAACGCGACAGGGTGGTAACATATGCCCCCCCCCCACTGGGGCGAAGGTTAAGCATTGAGGGAAGTCATCCATTTCGTTTTTCATTAGCTTACAATATCGTTTGCTGTGATCGCCGTTTCCCGATCATTTAACTATATAAATAAGTTTGGAACGTTTCCTTGTTTACTTTACTTCCAAGTAAACACCCATATTTAGCTTATTTGGCTCGTCACTAAATAACTAACAGAAAAATCGGTATCTGACAGGTTATCAGTTTCATCCCAAAATCCGGCATGGTACTCCGTGGAGACTATGAGACAGTCATTCTTCAGCTTATGATGTTTCCAGAGGGACGAGCTGGTTGCTGCCGATGATCTGCTTAAGGCCGCCCCACACCGGACCTCGCATGCGGGTTGCGAGTTTTTGGGTTTTCGGGTTTCTTCAAATTTAAATAGTACGATATATGCTGAGTGACCCACACTACCATCGAACAAGCGAATCTGCATGTTTTTAGCTTACCAGCCACCTTGCATCGCATTACAAAAGTTGATTTTGAGTCAGCTTTCGATTTTCCTCGCTGCGAGGTCTGTGAGTTCACTTCTGCGAGGTTTGCGGGTCTTTCGTTGAAAATTTAGGTTCGTTGTGCTGGTTTTGCGACTATATATGTAATTTTCTGAAGGTGTACCGGCTTCACTGCATTCATGAAGTTACCATAAGGGAACAGTCTAATAACTCTATGAATGAGTATTATGCCCGTAAACTCAAAACCCGCAAACTCGCAACCCGCATGCGAGGTCCGGTGTGGGGCGGCCACTAAGCTGGAGAAGTCGCTACGGCTACAGAGCCTGGAGCTGAGGGAGCCGACGGACGCCCACGGCGGCAGGACGGCTCCCGGCCCGAGCGCGATCGAGACCACCGTCTTTGAAGACGCCATGGCCTTTGCGGGGGGGGGGGCTACGTGCTCCTAGTGCCACCATACCGACAGCGGACTCAGCGTCTCAATGTACGTACGTACAGGGCGACCTCAGAAGACATGCACGCAGTCCCAAACACCTGGCTGATGACATCAGCCGTGGCAGGCTGTACGTCCCAGGGTATATTGAGTGAAGGGTAGGACGAACACTGGTAGGAATTTCTAGTATAACTAATAGAAAACCTACTATGTGGTAGGGACTAGCAAAAAGTTAGTTCAAACTAGAATATGGTAGCGCTTATGGTTGGCAGTCGTGACGCGCACGTGACATTCATTTTTTAAAATTTCTTGAATAACGGGTTTTAGGGGCCGATTAGTGCGCAGATACATTCAATTAGCTATTAATAATTCATTACGCAAACATTCAAGACTCTACATCATTCAATTCTAGCCGAAATCATACGGCGCTCCCAGGATTCGAACTCACGACCCTCGGATCCGTAGCCCGATACGCTACCGACTGCGCTACCGAGGACCGCGCGCCGACGATCGGAGGGGCGGATCGCGGGTGCTGGCGTGCAGATAAATCTTTACCCTGTACGCCGTAGAAGATCGGCTGGGTTTCGTGAAAATGGTAGAGGAATTGTCGAAAGAAAATTCATCGATCTATCATTTGAGACTAAAAACCATTGATTCCTTCAAAGGTTGACCGAGATATCGCTCGCCGAAAACAGGCCATTTAACATGTAAACCATATGGGCTGGTAGGAAATGTACGCCGTGGAGCAGCAGTGCTACCAACTAACTTCGGCGGGGGCCGGTACGTCCAGTCAGCCCGATACATGAAGATCGTGCGGACCTTCGATGTCAATTTCACGATGTTGATTGGCGTCACCGCCAGCCAGAGGCCAGGCTCGGCTCATAGAAAAACTCCAGCAGCTTTTCAGTCTCAAGGACCTCCAGTTGGACCAGAGGGAAGCCGGGAAACTGGTATAGTTCTGTCTGCGTCGCCTAAATAACGCTAGAAAGGTGGCACGTGCCGCGCCGCGTGCTGCGAAACAGCTCACTCCCCCGCGTCCAATTTGATTGTGGCCCGAGCCGCCGAGTGACGTCCATTCTATCATTCTTGAAGCGACTGACTTGTTTGAAGCCAAAAACGTGGCAAACGCGAATTATTACCATGATATTTTATCACTCTGGATTCGCTCAAATTTGCGCTAGGATGGTGACAATGGATGAGTTGCGTTCTATGAACTTAACAAGGCGATCAGAGGGGGGGGCGCACGAGTCGTTCAGAATTCCTCCATTTGTGGACTGAGCGGTCCAGCCAATTAAATACTTAAGCAGACTGCTTCTTGAGCGAGAAAAAGGGGAGTGGCCGTCCGATAAAAGCCGTCTCCACGGAAGACAAAAGATAAGCGGAAGATCTAGTTCTCCCCCAAGAAAGGCCGGGACCATACTTGCACCAACAGAATGCAACGAGAACCTTCAGAGTTCATTACATCAAAATCTTCCGTCCACCGTCACCATAAGTCAAAGAACATGAAGGCATTGAAGCGACTCATCGTCCCACCCATGTTTGTACAACAAAAATATGTAGGTATGGGGTCAGCAACGCTTGAACTTGTGTCAAATGCAGTGCCGAGAACTTCACTCCAAGTTGCAGATAAACTCAGCAAGCAAGTCACGCTAACGCGAGAGGTACGAAGAGCGGTGTGCAACATCGAAACTAACAATATAGCATTAGGAATTCTAACTGGGTAGCCCCGCAGTCGCATACCTTTCCAAGCATACCCTTCCAACGTGCACTAAGGCTCAATAGAACTGATTACAATGTCGCAGCTGTCTGGGAAGCCATCTACGTGGAGGGTGATAAGAGGAAATGGAACAGGATCCTCTATTTTCAGCCCGCTTTTGCGATGCCCGCCCACTGCACTATACGAGCCTTGTTTATTTACCAAGTCCTATACACGGCCTTGATACGGGCAGCTCGCATGCTGTTCTTCACATCGAAGACTAGACGTCAAAATACTGCCCGCGCCGGCGCTTTCATGGATTGTGTTATGACTTCACAAAGTAAGTTCTTAGTCATACATTTTATTCATCCCAAAACACACACCGAGCACCACACACATTTTTGCACTCAAATTTAGTAGAAATAAATCTCGTGAAAAATCTTCAGTAGAAATAAAGCTCGTGAGTATACCGAAAGTGACAAACTAATCAGGGCTCCTTCATGTCAAGAATGAATGAAGGTCAGTGACCTCATAACACCCTCAGGCCCTTAGAAATAAAGCGAACTGTTCACTCAGTACGTTCACTAGTACATGACAAAGTCTTTGAATCGCGCCGGTCGACGGTAAGTTCTCCCGGTCCTCGATACTGACTCTGCAGCAGGCTCAGGTAAGAATGGCTGCGGCTCTAGCTGCGCAGACATCTGAGGGTTGTCCTGGTCCCCCAGTGGTGGTACATCCTCATTTGATGTGACTTCATCAGTTGTCTGCCCTCCTGTGTCACTGCGTGCCGTTTCCGTTCTTGGGTTCAGCTGAGGTAGATATAAGGGAAGACTGTCCCCGTCCAGCTCCTGGTTGCTGACCGACCCAGGCTGTTGTGTTTTACATGTGGATTGTGGAACTGGAGGCTTGTTGAGGCTGCTTCCATGTGCTTGGTTTTGTACTTGTACTTGTCTGACTTGTGCTGACTGTGGTGTCTCGTTTACCATTTTCTTGAGACTGTTGATTCTGCCGACTCTCGATAATCAGTGGAAGTATGTAGTTGTCCAGCGTGTCTTGACCAGATTAGACCATCCACTGTCACTTGGTAGGATACAGGTCCTGTGCGTCCCAACAATGCTCCCTTCTTCCATTTCTGACCTGAAAAGTTTCTCACTAGAACATTGTCCCCTGCTTTATATTCAACCAGTCGCTGGCTGTGATGAGGGGTCCGGTCGGACAGACCTCGGCGCGCGCCTCGCCGGGCTGCACCGCCCCCGCTGGGTCAGCCAGGGGTCCGGTCGGACAGGCCTCGGCGCGCGCCTCGCCGGGTTGCACCGCCCCCGCTGGGTCAGCCAGGGGTCCGGTCGGACAGGCCTCGGCGCGCGCCTCGCCGGGTTGCACCGTCCCCGCTGGGTCAGCCAGGGATCCGGTCGGACAGGCCTCGGCGCGCGTCTCGCCGGGCTGCACCGTCCCCGCTGACCATGTGGGACTACTCAAGACTCGACTCAGATCTACTAACAAGACTGTTGCAGGCAAATTAAGAAGCAGTACATAGAACGTAAAGTGACAATGCTTATATCCCAAAGACGTGACCCTCGGAAGTACCACCAGACGTTACGAACCATAACAGGCCGGACACGTAATGACAACATCCCACCTCTTGAAAGGCCAGACGGAGAAATAATTACTGACGACTACGCAAAAGCAACACTTTTAAACAACTATTTTTCAGACCAGGCCAAACTCGACATAGACACAGAGTTGCCCATACCAAGAGATGAGCCAGAAATAATGCCGGTGCCCACTCTAGGAGAAATAAAAACAACCGAAAGAGAAGTCCTACAGTTCCTAAATTCATTAGATAAGATGTAAACAAAGCAACCGGACCTGACGAAATACCTGCAAAACTTGTAAAACTAACAGCCGTACTAATCGCAGAACCATTGTCAAAACTGTACAATAAATCACTTGCACTTGGTATTTATCCCTCTAAATTCAAAGAAGCAAACGTAAAACCTATATTCAAAAACAAAGGCTCTCCATCTGAAGTCAGCAACTATCGCCCATTAGTCTCTTGTCATCTCTATCTAAGGTTTTCGAAAAAATTGTACACAAACACATCTACGACCATCTTTCCCAAAACAACCTTCTAACAGACAGAGTGGGTATCGGAGAGGCCACAGTGCCGAACAACAGTTGCTTTATTTCACTCATAACTTGTACCAATCATTAGACTCAGAACACGACTTCACAGCAATCTATCTAGATATATCAAAATACTTCGACAAAATTTGGCATACAGGACTCCTATACAAATGCAGACATGACTTTGGAATCACTGAATCTCTTCATGACTGGCTTAAATCATACTTATCAGACAGACGGCAACGAGTAAAGATTGACGACACTTTTTCAGCAACCGAAATTATAAACGCTGCACAGTGGGGCCGTTGACCAGCTTAGGGCGAATTTATTCGTAGCGTTGTTAATATTTCTCAATATGTTTTTCAAATGGTTTAAATGGGTATATTTAGGCATTTTGGGTCATCCCTGATGCTTTCGATACATTCGATAATCGAAAAAGCATAAACACACGATACATATGTATTGCATCACATGTTACATACATACACTTTGAACACTCTCACGACACGCCGCGCTGGTTCGACTCTGCCAGTCACTGCTGTCACTGCTGAACAGTCACTGCTGCTGTGGCAGTCGTCGCTGTCGACATCACTGCTGTCGGTGCCGTCGTCACGACGTAGCTGATTTCTCTCTCTCTCTCTCTCTCTCTCTCTCTCTCTCTCTCTCTCTCTCTCTCTCTCTCTCTCTCTCTCCCCCTCCCCCTCCCCCTCCCCCGGCGCTGCAGACCCAGGCTGCTGAGCAGCGGGTCGCTCGCCACGAGCAGGTAGCCCAGGAGGTCCAACATCGTGTGGATCCTCGAATCCTTGCGGGTGTGTCGAAGGCGGTACTGGCGGACCCGCTTGTGGGTAGCCTCTGCTGCTTCCTCAGACATCATACCGATCGGGAGGTGGCAAGACTCCACCACGGCCGCGGAGTGGCTCAGCAGCTTGTGCAGCGTGGTGGACATGTACCCTCCACGTACAGCTCAGCCGTGCGGCGGCAGTACGCGGAGAGAGCGTCGATGTCCAGTCGGTGCAGACAGCTGACAGCCTGCAGCACCGTGCCGACCCGGTCGATCAGCTCCTGGTCGACACCGGTGCAGGCCGCGAACTCGGCCGGCGAGCGGAAGGCGCGGCGGGCGGTGTTGCCGTCGTTGGAGTTGCCGCTGCCTCCTGCCCGCGGCTTGTTCACGCGCAGCCCCATCCTGGTCCTGAAGGCCTCCTGCACCTCAGCCGGGTGTACGGAAAGCAGTAGTACCAGGGGTAGCCAGTAACAGTTGGTAGCATTAGGTCAAATGGGCGCTCAAAAACTACTACCCCATAGGGATTCCATGTTAAATCGACCTTTTTCAGGCGAGCCCCATACGTAAGCTAAAAGATAAAGTGCCAATATTATTGTGGGGAAAGGTAGCCTCAAGCTTCCTCTACAACCTTTTTATCTAGCGTTTTTCGATGCGGAGGCCATAACAGGTCCAAAAAGCATTGGGCGCTGCCCGAGGTACCAAAAGCCCCTCCATGAGAGCACAAGTTCCTGCGCATGCGCACATTGCCTCAACCCTGTACTAGCATAAATTAGTGATACTGCTCAGTGCTCACGGACTCGATCAGCCAATCAGCATCCCCAATTACATTCATAGATGTCGCCAGCGTCGCGTAAGTCCTGCTTGCGAACACATTTTAAGAATGAAACAGCTGCGCCATTTCTGCCTTCCATTGATTCCTTCCATCTTAGTATCAACTATACGCTTTTCAACTAACTTTCGACTAAGTTTTAAACTATGCTTAGTATGTTATTTCTGGTACATATAATTTAAAAATAACTGCTTTATGGATTTGGCTTTACTCGTCAGAATGGAATACTCTATTTTTTCCATATTCAAAAAATATATCACTTACCATGTAACTCATCCAGGTAAAATGGGCGCTTTCCGCGTCGTTGGTGTACCCGTTGTTCTATATACCCTGAGTAGTACGGGGCAGGAATGATCAGGTACCAATCATCGAAATCATCGTGGCCAAAGAGGACTTATTTCATACTCTCGAAATAGGTTACGATACATTTGCCACCCAATGACTAGCTGACACACATCCTGACCCATAATAACAGGCTCGATGATTGGCTGCTGTAGACAGTGACATCACTCAATGGGCGGGACTAAAAACCACACGTCATTCCGGATCCTGTCGGGTCACGCACCGTCCGCCCCCAGGTCAGGTCACGGCGCGCGGCTGGGTCATGACCGAGCGGCGTGCCGTCGGTCATGTTTAAACTCGAGCTACCGGTGAGGCGAGCAAGTTCGAGCAGGAAAAAAAGGTCGGGCCAAATCAAAAAATGCTGGCAAATTGCAATCATCCTAGATCTGACGTGGCGGCAAACGGCGGTAGTTGTTGAAATCTTCGGTTTTCATGAAACATCGTTATGAAAACGCTATCCATGTATTGGTTTGATTCTATCAGTCGTAACGTGCAGACGATAAGTCAGCCAGTATTGCAAGTAATCCTATCGTTTTTTAGAGACATTGGGAAGAACAATGGTGTATGATTTATATCAATTCAATATGTATTACACTATGTAAACTTGCGTTACAAAAGTCGCGTTCTTGCCCGCAAATCGGCAGGATATGAGAAATCCAACAATTTGTCCACTTTGAGTAGTCAAATCACCCCCTAAAAGTTGCCATATGTGCAAAATTCAGTCTGTTTCATAAAATTCAGGCAATTTCCTATACATTCAGCCATATTTCAAGCAGATTTTCGAAAGTCACTTTCTTGATTAAATTCGCCCTAAACTGGCGCGCGGCCCGTCCGTGCGCTGGCTGTCCGCAATGATCCGTCCTTGGACCACTTTTAGCCCTTATATATCTTGACGGACTTTCGACGAAGACCCATAACGACATTCTCTTCTTTGCTGACGACGTCTCTATTTACACATCCTATTCAACAGCAGACACTATCAAAGCACAGGCATCATTACAAAAGGACCTTGATGCAATATACAAATATGGACAGGACTGGGCAATAACTTTCAACACAAACAAGACAAAACAACAAACATTTTCACTAAAACAAAAATACACTTCGCCAACCCTAACATTTGGAAACGATAGGATACCACAATGTGACAATCATACACATCTCGGAATGACATTTTCAAAAGACTTGCGCTTCCATCAGCATGTAAATGAAATTTGCAAAAAAGTACAGAGAACATTGAGTCCACTCTACCCTATTGCACCATACATTCCCAGAGACATTCTTGACGACGTTTACAAAACATATGTGAGACCTCACTTTGACTTATACGATACCATATATGACGGACACTTGACAGCACGGGACGCATATAGACTAGAGACACTTCAAAACAGAGCGGGAAGACTAGTTACCGGTACACTATAGAACACCAACAGATAAATTATTATATGACCTGGGGTGGAACAGACTCACTATTCGAAGGAAAATACACAAACTATCGTTGTACCATGCATTCACACATAGCCAACATACACCTGCATATATCAAGTTAATCATACCGGCCACTCGCATCCAACAAACTGGCAGAACGCTAAGAAACGCGAGTAACCACACGATCACAGCAAACCGTACCACATCCTATCAATCCTCATACTTCCTTTCAACCGGCAAACTATGGAACGGGCTCCCAGAATCAATTAGGTCATTACCCCATACATCCTTTAAGCGAGCGATTACCGAGCGGCTGGGAGTATCCAAGCCTCCAAATTATTACAAAATTGGATCCAAGGAAGGAAATGCCCTCCACACCAGATTAAGAACAGAAATGTCATTATTAAATTCACATCAGTTCCAGATAAACAAGTGCTCGACCACTGCTTGTTCATGTGGTTACCCGACGGAAAACGTTCGTCATTTCACATTATTTTGCCAAAAATATGAACACCAAAGAAATCAACTCTTTCGAGACGTTTTGCATATTCTCGGCAATGTCACTAACAACCAACCACTCGATTCCAACCTGACACTTCGGTTGCTCATTCATGGAGAAACTCTTGGCGACGGAGATGGGCGGCGGGTGGCACACCACTTCCAAAGATTCTTGATTAACTCAAATAGATTTAGTCAACAATAACACTTTCTTTAAAATCAACCTTAGTTTTTCATTGATTTTCAATCTGTGACCTTGGTGCTGTCCCCGCGGGCCGGCGCGCGGTCTGCATTCAACCCAACCGCTCATCGGTGACCGGGTTGGCGGCGGCGGTGTGATTAGCAGCAATTAATTTCATTTCCTTTACAGAGAGGTGCCTAGAATTAAGCGCTTGGCGCTTTTGCACCAATCTGCTATTATTTTTTCGAAACGCCTTGTATAACTATTTGTTTTCTACTTACGTTTCTCTTTTTGGTAATACGTGTTGATTAATAAACATTCTGTGTGTGTGTGTGTGTGTGGGTCAGCCAGGGGTCCGGTCGGACAGACCTCGGCGCGCGCCTCGCCGGGCTGCACCGCCCCCGCTGGGTCAGCCGGGGGTCCGGTCGGACAGGCCTCGGCGCGCGCCTCGCCGGGTTGCACCGTCCCCGCTGGGTCAGCCAGGGGTCCGGTCGGACAGACCCCGGCGCGTGCCTCGCCGGGCTGCACCGCCCCCGCTGGGTCAGCCAGGGATCCGGTCGGACAGGCCTCGGCGCGCGCCTCGCCGGGTTGCACCGTCCCCGCTGGGCCAGCCAGGGGTCCGGTCGGACAGGCCTCGGCGCGCGCCTCGCCGGGCTGCACCGTCCCCGCTGGGTCAGCCAGGGATCCGGTCGGACAGGCCTCGGCGCGCGCCTCGCCGGGCTGCACCGTCCCCGCTGGGTCATCACTCAGTGGGTAGATCTCGGTGCATGCCGCCTCGCTGGACTGGCCTGCTACCTCCGGGACTGCGGCGGGCTCCGCTGGGTTTCCTGGTGCTTGTTCGCCACAGCACCTCTTGGCGAGAGGTAACTCATCGTCGGAGTCGTCTATGGAAAACCGAGGAGGGGAGAAAGGAGTGTGAGGAAAAAATGAGGACGCGGGAAAGGGTTTATGGAAATTAATTGTGCGATACCTAACTGGTTATCCTGATGTGTGGCTTGATCTTTTTCCATGCGGGTGTTCGTGGTCGGGGGAAGAAAATCTAATGAGTGCAACTTGGAAGGGCGAGGAGGGACGGCAGTCTCGATGTGGCACAAAGAAAAATGGCAGCACATCTAACATATCAGGACTCAAAAAAGTCATGCTTGATATATACCTACATGGCTTCAAAATTGCAGGCAACCGGCACGAAGGATCTCTCAGTTCTTATATAACTCTTTCAACAGTTCCGAATTTCACTTTTCTAGCTCAAAACACGTAGCGTGCAGCAATGAAACAATATTTTACCTTGACCTGGGGCACTGATCAGTGGGCACCAAGGCCGTATAAGAGAGGTAGAATCATCCCGCGATTTCCAATGGACCGGTCGCTAAGCATTAGCGTGACGTCACTGGTGGAGACCGGGCGGCGCCCGGCTCCAAGCTGTACGTCGGGTACATTTGGCACCGTATAGTTGTTATTACTGTAAGTAGGTATAATATTATTTAGTGGCCGAGAGCCGTGAAGGATGCACGGCTAAATCGTGTTCCCGGCTGTGGCGGGAAGCGGTCGCGCGTCGGCGCGCGAGCAGAGCAGAGCAGAGCGCTGGGCAGAGGGTGTGTGTGTGGAGATATTATTTAGTGGCCGAGAGCCGTGAAGGATGCACGGCTAAATCGTGTTCCCGGCTGTGGCGGGAAGCGGTCGCGCGTCGGCGCGCGAGCAGAGCAGGGCAGAGCGCTGGGCAGAGGGTGTGTGTGTGGAGCGCGGCCGGAGGCGCGGCTGGTTGTGTGTTGTGTGTTCGGTCAAGCTGAGAACACAGGAATACAGAGACATGCAGTAAGACCGGAGGCTGTATCTGAAGACTGAGGTGTCTTACATTACTGAACGTAATGACACCTAATGACTCTTAATAACTTTTTTACTCAACTAAAGCTGATTTCCTTGCCGGTACATTGCCGACCCGAGCCCCAGGGTTGACATCATGGGATATGGGTCGGATGGGCGACCTCGCGACGGGAGAAGGAACAATTGCAATTGTTGTGCCCGCACCGCCGATTGCATTCTCTATCTGCATCGGGGGGGAGCAGGGGGCACGTGCCCCCATCGGATCAGGGGGCCTCTCGGGCCCGAGGGGCCTTGCGACGCCAATTGGCGGCTGAGGGTCTACGCTGGCATCTTTCGACTCAGAAGGGCCCCACAGGGCTCTGAAGAACACCTTATGTGCTCCGAAGAGCCACACTTCTATCCATAAGAGCCCCACACCGGCTTTTCAGTGTCCCTTGTCGGCCTTTGAGGGCCCCTTGCCGGCTTCTCAGGGCCTATTGGCGACCTCTGAGGGCTACTTGCCGGCCTCTGAGGGCCCTTACCGGCCTATCAAGGACCAGCAGCTCTAAGGGTTCCACAAACGCCTGCGATGACCCCCTAAACCAATGGTTGAAGCCTGAAGGCCCCCACAACGGCGCCTGCGAGGGCCCTCACCGGCGGCTGTGAAGGCCTCACACCGGTGCCTAGCTGAGGGCCCCACACTGCCACCTCTGAGTGCGACCGGCACCCTTGAATGAGGTCCCGAAACCAGTGCTTCTTATCGGCGGCTCTGGGGGCTCAACGCCGGAGCCTCTGACGGCCTCAGACGGGACCTGCGCATCGGACGGCCACTCACCGGTGACTTTTGAAGGCCCCACACCGACGACTCTGAGGGCCCCACTGGCGTTTGAATGCATCTTGCTGGTCTATAAGGACTCCACAGGGCTCCCGAAGGCACCGCAGACCTCTTGAGAGCCCCTGTCGGCCTGTAAAGGGTTCGAGCCAGCAGCTTTAAGGGTCCCGCACCCGACTGTGACAACCCCACACTGCAGTGTCTCTGAGGGCCAACAACGGCAACTGTGAGGACCCTCACCGGCGCCTCTAAGGGCCCACAGTGGCAACTCTGGGGACCCCGCACCAATGCATCTGAGAGCCTCACACCGGTACCTGTGAGGGCCCACACCAGTGCCTCCAAAGGCTTCATAACCGGCGGCCCTGAGGGCCCTACACAGGTGATTTTGAGGGGCCTACCGAAGGCATCACACAATCCCTTAGTCTCGCTGAGCTTCTATCCCAATCCCATACCGGCTTCTATCCCAATTCCGGCTCAACTAATTAGCAGTCCCCCCCCCCCCCCAGCATATTTACGTCTGGACAACGAGTTGCGTTGGAGAGGCCGGAAATAGTGGCGATTTCAGGACCGCAAGAATGGACCGTCATTGGAATGATTCTTTTTTAAACCGTGCACTGTTTTCGGCCGGAATTGAATAGTTACTACAAAATATTTTGTAATTACGTTTCCACCGAGAATGAATGCCATCAGGGCTGAATTTTTAATACTATTGCATTTTGTCAAGAAGCATATAGTGCTGTTATATTGCAGTTTTAGCGCGTTTGTTACAAAATATGAAGCGAATAAGCGTCAGTGTAATTCATCAACAGTGCCAGTTTTGAGTTAAAGCTTTGCTAATTGCTCTTGTCCATCCACTAAAATTTATTAAATATTTTGCTTTGTGTATTCCAAAAGGAGAGGGAACTATTTCATTTGTGCCTTCATGTCAGAATTGAAGGTGGATCATTAAATTGTCAACGCAGTTTACAAACAAGCATTTGGTCTTTCTCGTTTATAAGCAGTAGCTAAGAAAAGGTTGATCAATCCTGAAGTTCAGTCATCGTACCTCAACTTGGCAGCAAGATCCCCCAAGGACAGAGGATATACTGTATACATGTCCTGTAAATCAAAACAAACAAGCATTTGGTCTTTCTCATATATAAGCAGTGGCAAGAAAAGGTTGATCAATCCTGAAGTTCAGTCATCATACCTCAACTTGGCAGCAAGGTCCCCCAAGGACAGAGGATATATTGTAAACCTGTCCTGTTAATCAAAACATTGTTCTGCCTTCAAAGGCTTAAGTTATCTGTGGTGTGTTCGGAGTTAGGCTATATGACCGTTTTTGTTGTATGTTTATGTGGAGATTGAATATAACTGTGACCCTGTGCTTGTTTGTATGCTTACAGTCAAACAGGGAACAGCACATTTACATAACATGCTCACCTAGCACCTAACTCATAGCTGTACCCTGCAGGATCTGTACTTGTTCATGTCTCGAGCATTAACAAAGCACTAGAGTAGCTTAGTAATCATTTCCCACATTTTCTGAGCATCTAACATGACATACAGCAGTGCAGAGCAGCTTCAGAGAAGAAACACTTTAAATGCACAGACTCACATGGCACACCAGCCACCCAATGAGCCAGTTCCTCAGTTGACTGTTTCCCTGGACACAGCTTGGCAATGTGAGCTAACTTTTGGCAAGTTGAAGGTTAGCAGGTAAGATTGAGTTAGGGTGAGTACCTACCTATAACTGGGTGCTACTGCCATGCAGGTCTTGGGTAGGCTGCAAATATGTGTGATGATTGAGGTTAGGTCAGCTGTCAGGTTAGTCAGGTTCAGGTATGCTCATTGCTCAGGTCACATTTTTATGGACATTTGGCAAATTAAAAAACTAACAATCTGATCTAAGCTAACCCGACTAAACATACACAACTACTGACTATAGGAACTGAGCACCTACCTACTTGTGCCTACCTCTCATACCATGTCAAAGTAGAGTTCCTTGGTGGAAGATAACCCTCAGTACTTTTTATCCCAGCCCTGTGAAGAAAACTAATACTTCTAAGCTCTGAGTCACTGCTGGCCATCCACAGGATGAAACGCTGAGACTGAGAGCTTTGCCACTGTATATTGGACCAATATTGACTATCACGAATGACTATGAACACATAATATGATCAAATCGTTGCATGGATTGTCACATTGACAATTTTACTACCATCGTTTTTTCAAGAAATACAGTGATGATGATTAACATAAAAATCAACATTAAAGGAAATAGTTCACTTTTAACATGGGGTTTTGAGCTGGAATAGCAGTTTCGTAGCTTGAGCTGAGACTAGCACAAATCAGGAGCTTTTACGGCTCAACGATCACCCTAGACGAAGATATTCCATTTCTCGTTCCGAAAAGAGTGCCTTGTAGAGGAATGCGTGCCTTGCACAGGAATGCAGCCACGTCATCGTCAGCCAATCAGCGTGCTGCTTACAGCCAATGCAGTATGTGTAGGTTTGAGCTACGCAATATGATTGGTCAATGCGTAATAAGCTTCCGCGTCAAACATTATTTTACATAGAATATAGTTCGTCCTATATTAAAATATAGAAAATAATTGTTTTTACAAAAAGGTTTTATTTTATTTCATGATTATTTTGAGCATAAAAAAATCATAAATCAATAGCAAAATACTGATTTCAGGAAAGTGGACTGTTTCCTTTAAGTAGATTTAGTGATCCAAGCTTTCTCCTCTAGTAGCAATGGAATGATCGCATGCTTCATTTGCCAGACACTGAGTACCTGATGCACATTACAATCTGCATAGCATCTAAGCATAGTAAAACTGCCCAAGTCCATTCATTCTAGATTTTATCTTGATAGTTAGCACTAATTTATCTTGCTGATGTAAGTTATCATTCAATATTCATACCAATACATCAATATGCGCTCATCAGTCAACATTTTCTGGCATGATCCTGCTCAAGTGCTCAGCGTGCTCTTCAGTATTGGTCCAAGGTCTGCAATATTATAGCTTGTTTTTGGACAATAAGCTCTTTTAATTATACTTTTTCTTGCTAATATATGAGCCCGATCAACTTGCGTTTATCAACCAAAATTTCATAACTTGTTCAACTTGATATTGATATTGCTCAGTAGTCAGTCGACCTCTGTCAGCCTCCTGGATAGATTGTTTTCAGTCAACATGCTTCTTAAATATGATATAAGTCAATCTTAATGAATTCAAAACATCCAACAAAACGACGTACAAGAGCAAGAAAACCACCAGATAAACTAAAAAATGGCCTTGGAACAGAGCCAAGTGGTGCTCCATTTGTTTGTTTACAATGATTGTAGTGCTGATGTATTTTTAGGACTCTGAACGTCGGCTTATAAAAAAATGAAACGTTTTTACAAAAGTTGTACGGCAAGTAATATTTATCTGAAAGAACTAAAATATTCAAAAGCCGAACACTATGAAATACATGAATCGGAACGAAAAAGTAACCCAAAAATCCAACCTAATCACCGGCTCCTAAAACTGCAACACAATCAGCACTTTTCCCCGCAACTCGTTGTCCAGACGTAAATATGCCCCCCCCCCCCCCATGGGTCAGCAGCGCCGCGCCGGTGCCGGGGGCCAGCGCCATCGGGGCGGCAGTCGGCCACGCGCACTCAATGGTTAGCGCTTAGCATCGACGGCTAGCGCACGTCCGGTGTGTTATCGGCCGTGAGCCGCTCCAAAACGGCTGCAGTAACTAGTCGATATAGGTAGTAAGCAGATGCAGAGATGCAGGTGGATTGATGACCGGCAAGCTTTTGTGTTTTACGAGAGTGAAGGGTCGAAGTCGGCTGCTAAGTGGTGAGCGGATTTTATCAGATGCCGGTTCACCATGACCTTTGTCCGGGTCCTGGTACTCTGACGCACTCTTGGAGAGCCGAATCACAGCAAAAATCCACCCACGACTGTATCTATACGGCTTACGCTTTTCTGAAAACGTCTGCGTTTGGCGTTCTACGGGCCCGGCCGGCCGGCCGGCCGCACCGGCCCCGATTGGCGGTCCTCCAGTGACGTCACCGGTAGTGTTAAGCTGATTGGCGAATAATACATGGGAAGAACCGGGACGACATCCCCCTGGTGGGCACCCCTCCCTCCAGTGCGAACTAGAAATACAGGGGGAGGAAGGTGAAAGCATATTTGTACATTTTCTTACCATGAACGAGCTCTAAGGCTGCAAGTCGCTGCTTAGACAATTGGATTTTTCCAGTCCACACCTTTCTTGAGTGTCGCATAGACACGCTCGCTCCTCCCTGGAGAGGTGTGTCGCTCTTGAGGCAATGCACCGGAACGTAGTGGGAATGGCCTCGGCTTGTATCGTCCCATGCCACGCGGACGTAACTAGTTCCACTTTTGATTTTGCAGTCCCCATTGGGCACGGAGTTCTTCGACTTCCTCTTCATTTCACAGCACAGTTCGAAGAGCCCGCGCCACCCGTCCGACCTCCATCACTGACAGAACGAAACTGGCGCGAACTTCAATGAAAGTTATTGGTGATATTTTATTTTAGCGCATTTCCTCCCTCATCATACACAAAAAAATTAACATATCTTTGTAGGGGTATATTCGTATCCAACAGAAAATATGAAAAATAAATCCAAAATATGTCTGAAAAAAAAATGTCGCGAAATTAAAACCCGTTATAAAGCTAGGCCACATGAAACATTCCCGGCAGATGAAAACACGTATGTGTTTTGCAGGGAGAGAGGCTGACAAGACAAAAAACCGTAACTACACACTTACGGTTTTCTGCCTTTTCACAGCCTGCCACAAGTGACGATAGCATCCCAGTAGAGTAGTAGCTGACAAGACAGAAAACCGCAACTACGCACCTACGTTGTTTTCTCTTGTCACATCCTCATCACGCACTGATTTGCGCATAAATGGACACCGCATGATCACTTACGTTTTTCTTTCCTGTCAAAGAAAAGGTGGCCTGGCACTTGCGTTTTTTTGCGATAATATGTCAAATTTAAAATAGAAATATTTGAAAAATTATAACAAATTTGATAATATGCTCCAAACAGGCGTATGCGGACCACTTTTCCGCGTCGAATGATACCAAAAACCCAAAATCGATAAAATGTGAGTTACGGTCTTCATCCTTTTCACGACAGAGTGGCACAGGGGCGTTCTCTATCGGCTCAGTTGTCTTCTTTGTAGGAATAGGCAAGGCCGTATATAGGGGAATAGGGGCCTCCTGTGCGGACACGAGCCCTCTGGGGTCCTGTACAGACACAGGGCGTCCTCTGAACGTACGTACTTACAAAAACCTCGTGTTTTGAAACAGGGGCCTACACAGGGCCTTCAGTGCGGGCACAGGGGCCTCCTGTGTAGCAACAAAGGCCTGTTAGATAACTTCTCACGTATAAAATGGTCTCTTGTATTTATAGAGGCTTATACGGGTATCTGTTCATAGGAAGAGACTCTTCACTTCCTTCCAAGCTTTTATAATTATGAAAGGGCGGACATTTAACGTATGTAGTGTAGAGGTCATAGGGGCCTCGAATAGTTGAGACTATGAGAGTCTTTTTCGTCGGTGATGTTTCAAATTTGCCCCATATTTCAGGGGTGGCAGGCTGCCACCCATGCCCCTATCGTGATGCCGCCATGGTGACAACACTAAAAAAACTTAGCACGTGCAAAAACCAATCATTGCTAAAAGTACCTCCATTAATTGATTGTCAATTCGTACGTTTTTTCGCAATGATATTCTCGAGTCTGCGTGTCGAACACCGACAATGTCGGTGCGTCTGTCGTCTGACTGGTTTCTGGGGACCACTTTTTATCGCCCATCGGAGGACGTCCTGTTCCATGAGGAGGACAGTGTCAGTTCAGCAGTGGTCTATACGACTGCCTTTTGACACACCTAGCGAGACTGAGTGAGGCTACTTCTGATTGTGAAACGTCTATCAATGATTTTTTAGTGATTGTGACCGCATACATTTCATCGCACTATGGCCTTGGAAGGATTTCGTTGTGTCGTCCTGTTTTTGTGTTCGTGCTGTCTGTCCACCACAGCTGGACTGGGAGTCATTTGGGACGTCTTTGGCATCAACAGAGAGAATGTGGTGAGTACACCCATCTACAGATTCTACCTCCTTCCTACGGATCTACATGCCCTGAGAATTTCCTGTCCCAGTGACCTTTGGTCTGCAGGTCACCAGGCTACGAAAACCTGTGCACTGTCAAAATAGCACTGAAATTACACTCAAATTTCTATGAAACCTGGAGTTTTACTTCGCTTTGGTTCAAACTTGCAGGATGTGGTAAGCTCACCGAATTTGACCTCGGTCAATGGTTTGGCCTCCAAGAGTCAAAAATCGCCAAAATGGCCAATATTGACGAAACTAGTTTTTTCAGGCATAACTTCTCACATAATGAAGCTAGGTCAATGATTTAATCACCATAGCATTTCTCTCATCAAGGCGTGGCGTTTCGGGGTCATCAATTTCAATGATATATAAGATGACCTCGAAACTTCAAATTGAAAAAATTGACAAGTCAAGGTCACGACCTGACCCCAAAAAATCATGTTGCATATCAATTGATTAGTCTTGACGAGATAAACACAGTTAACTTGTCCTGGAACCCGTATCTCGCTTCAATCCTGTACCTCGGTGGCGGCCCCGGTAGCGGTTGCGCTTTAGAATTTTTTCGCTTCCGCAACTCGCAACTCCGCAACTTTTTGGGCTCGGTAGCCGATCCGTAACTCCGCTTCCACGGCGGCAGTCCGCAAGTTGCGGAGTTGCCGATTTAAGTTGCGCAATGCCCACCTCTGGGCTGCGACACGGGGGAGGGGAGCCTCTACGCCCACGGCCGGCCTGTTGTGAAAAGTCCCTGCCCTGTGGTTTCGTGGATGACTTAGACTCCTTACTCGTACCAAGCTGACCTAGCTTCTCATGATCGTTATGTAGAATCTTCCCTCGTGCAGTGCCGGCACGTCACGCCAGTTGGCCCAGTCATCCCTGACGCCATTCTCACGTCACCCGCAGACCCGGGAGCACTGGACCCCGTCCCAGGCGGTGCCGCAGAACCGGTTTTTCTTGGGCGACATCACGCCGGCCGGCCAGCGGATACCGGGGCTGGCCAAGAACAGCAGGTGCTGCGGCAGGACCAACCGCGACGGCATCCAGCTCGACAGCGTCGGCACCAAAATCGTCAACGGCACGGCCACGGAGCGGAGCGAATTTCCCTGGATGGTGAGTGAGGGACACATCAGGAGACAGACTGGTGAATGGTGACGATTGGTGGGGTATAACTGGGATAGATGAGTGAATAGTGATGTTTGCTTGGGTGTAACTTGGGGAGAGTTTGGTAATGTTTGGCGGGTTACACCCGGGGGGGGGGGGCGTAATACTGGTAACGGTTGCCGGGGCACGTCGGGGACAGATAAGTGATGGTTGGGGCACATCAGGGGCATGGTGTTGAGTGACATTGAGCCGGGCACCTCGAGGACAGAATGTGACGGGTTGCGAGTGTGTGGCCTTTCGTGTCATGCTGACAACGGACGGTGTTCTATCACACTGCCGCTCCTTAGTCCGGGCATATAGTGTGAGGTTCATAAAACTCGTTATTCGCTGGGCTCATTCGTCTCTGATCAGTCTTTGATGAGCAATTCCTTAACTTATAAGTTAACGATAGGATTTGAGAAATAATCGTTCATATACCGGTACACACAACAGTCAAATGAAGTATACTTTTTTACTTTTTTATCGACAGGCAGCGCTTGTTGAGCGCACGGATACATTCCTGGGTGGATTGCCTTTCTGCGGCGGGTCTCTGATAAATGACCGCTACGTGCTGACGGCGGCTCACTGCATCGCATGGTGGCCATCCCCACTATGGGGTCAGGTCATACTCGGCAAACACGAACTTCGTGAAACGTCTGAGGGTGAGCTTCGGCTGGACGTGAAACAGGTTAGTACTAACCAGGCTGCGGAGTCGGTCGGAGTCGACAGCTCTGCCCAAAGTCGGCGTTGGAGTCGCTACTCTTACCGACTCCGACTCCGGGGAGTCGGAGGTAACACTGCATGGCTCAAAGTGGTCCCTGACCTCATCACCTGTTGGTTTGACAATATTGCGCTATTTGACGGTTTTCAAAATCAGATTTTGTCGAAGCTAAGGCCTAACTCCCGTTTAAGACGAGTGTTTTCATTGAATTCGTGATAGTTCTGAACACAGAAGAAAGACAGATGAATTTCGGAACACCTGTGACATTTGACTGACGCCGATTTCTTGCGACGGTAGCTGCATTTTCGGGTCAGGCCAGGTCACTGACAAATAGCATCATAAGTGAACCACTGCACTATAGGTACACGGTCCTAAAATATGGTAACTCCGTAACGCCCTCCGTGTCAGAGGAGCTCCAAGGGGTAAATGAATCTGGCGGGAAATAGTATCCTCCAGAGGTCCCACAACTTCTTCATGTTTTATTTTTCTTCCGGTCACCTGAGGTTATGCCGGTATTTTGACCACCCAATTCAATGGGGGAACTGTTATTTTGGCACCGGGAATGATCTTGACTACCTCAAGCACATACAATCGTAATTTCGCGCACTCCTTGCAAGGACCGATGTTTCACTTTTGCATTGTTGACCTTGCTTGGCACTGGGGTCATACGAGTTGGTCGTCAGTAGCGCCCAATAAAATTGAGCTGGCGAGTCGGGAAAGATCTGCCAATAGATTCGTGAAGACCTGCCGAATCGAATGATATACAATGACCTTTTTCGACCCACTTCGTGACCTACACTTTGACCTCCCTTGACCTGGGGTCAACATCTTTAGCTGACCGTCCTCACCCAAACAACAAGTATATCATTCGGTGCGCCTGAGCATGAAGAACGCGATGATGCGTGACCTATTTGGCGAAGTTATTTACTAAAATTGAACACGTACCTGGGCTACTTGACCTAGAGGTCGCCGGCTGCTAACTGCTTCGAGAACTTAAAATCAGTTACCAGTCGCTGCGTCTCGTTAAGGCGCACCAGCTCATTTTCTATAGGCTCTACTCAAATTTCAATTAGGTGTGAAAAGGCGAACGGGGGAGGTCATACCTCCAGTGTGTGTGTGGTTGGGGGGTCATGTACTTCCCTCCTAACGGAGACGTATGTAGAAAACCGGTGGGTCCGATGAGGGTTGATTCAAAAGTAAACAAAACTATTCGGTAGCCTTGTTGTGAAATGGCTTCCGCCTTCCTTGTCTTTCAACAAACAAATGTAAGACATCACGCACTTTTAACCTTCCGATCTTGTTAAACCCGCGCCCCGTAGGGCTATCGGCGGACCCTACCACCCCTCTAAGATCTCGGAAATTTACCGGCCGATTTTCAAAATTCAAACGGCGTTCGATAGCCCCACCGGGGAACTACCTTGTGACCAAATATTATTGACCTAAGTCAATAAAATTCGTCACGTGAAGTTTGATGACGTCACAGGTCAGGTCAAAGGTCAGATTTTCACCGTTCACAGACATTTCAAGAAATGTGTTGTGAAATAGAGTAAATTGGTAATTCATTGAAAACCATCGATGGTACATTGTTCGTCAAACACATATTTTGCTATCTGAGGTCACTGATACCAGGTCAGGTCACAGCGAGGTCAGGTCACCGGGGTTCACAATATGAAAGTGTCGTGTGATGCATGTTTTATGGTCCATTTTACATGACAAATGCGATAATGTGGGTTAGGCAGCCTTTGGGGCCAGCCTAGGTCACGTTTTGGTGAAAGTCAGGTCAAGGCAGGTCAAATTAGGGCAAATTTCAAAGTTGATATTTTTGCATAAAATGGGTATCGATTCGATGCAGCTCGTCACGGGAAGTCTAATGGTGTCTTTGTTTTGCTCTACGAGGTCTAGAATTGCCAAAAAATGAGTTTGAAAATTTGACGTCATCATTTTTGAAGTTTTTTTCGCTATACCTAACTTGGCCAAAAAACGAGGTATCGATCTGAAATTTGGTAAGTAGATAGAAAACGGTAGGTACTATCACAGATATTCCGATTTCGAAACTCAGAAAACTTTTTGGATTTTTTGGCTAATATATCCAAAAAATGTTTTTTTTTTGTTTTTTCGGGGTCAAAACTCAAACATTTAAAACATCCGAGATATCAGTTTTGTAGCCCTGTCAATTTTACACCTTTTATGACTTGACCATTTTTCTGTATCTTCAAAGCTGTAGGCCTGACAGGTCTTCTCGCGAAGGTCTTTTTCGGTCGAAAATGACAGAACATGACGTCATTCTGACGTCATTTGTGGCCAACATATCATAGCCTCTGCAAAAAATTTTCGGGCACAATGTGTAAAATGGATTCCCGGAGAAGTCCTGCAAGTTTGGTGGCGATATCTCTAGCCGTTTAGAAGATATGGATGGAAAAGGACAGTGGGGCCGTTTCGACCCCCCCCCCCTACGGGGCGCGGGTTAACAATTGTAAGATTGCATGTCTGATTACGAGCGAGCGAGCGCAGCGAGCGAAGCGAGTCTTTTCAATATAACGGAAAAATCTCATTACCAGTAAAACGCCTTATGGGCGAAGAACGAGCGAGCGAGAGTGAGCCCTGCACGTGCGGAAGGGCGGGAGGGTACTTCCAACGGGCTTGTGCAAAGCACCCTTCTAACCGGTCGCTAGCGGTGTGCCAAATTTGAACGCAATCGGCCCAGCCGTTCCTGAGATCTGGAAGCGGCATTCTGCACGTGCGCACGTGCAAACGGGGTCCAAAATGACTTTTGCACGGCACCCTACTAACCGGTCCCCAACCGTGTACCAAATTTGAGCGCAATCGGCCAAGCCGTTCTCGAGATCTGGAAACGCGCCCTGCACGTGCGCACGTGCAGTAGCACCCTAACCGCAACACATGGGAATGCATTGCCTGATGGGTGCCTAGCTGTATGCCAAGTTTCAGCGAAATCGCCCCAGTAATTACCGAGTTACTGAAATGGGAACAAATTTGGCACCTCTTTGCACGTGCAGTGGGGGTCACTCACATATGTAGATCAAGAGTATCCGACCTTTGGTAGAAGGGATGCAGCTACCCTATAAAAATTACCGCAAGACAATCGCTCAAGCCGCAGCTGAGATATGGGCCTCTCAAAATCACTACTTTTGCAAAACTGCTTGAACACCCTTCACTTTTCACGTGGCACGTGCCACGGCGGTCACTGAGATGATTCAAAAGTAGTCAATTACGGGGTAGAAGGGATGGGGCTATCCAGCAAAAAAAAAAGACCGCAGGCCAATCGGTCCAGCGGTTGCTGAGATATAAGCCTCTCAAAAACGTTACAGGCCGGGCCGGGCCGGGCCGCTCATACTGAGATTTTTCCGTTATTACGAGCGAGCGAGTGCAGCGAGCGAAGTGAGTCTTTTCAATATAACGGGAAAATCTCAGTATGAGCGGCCCGGCCCGGCCCGGCCCGGCCTGTAACGCTTTTGAGAGGCTTATATCTCAGCAACCGCTGGACCGATTGGCCTGCGGTCTTTTTTTTTGGGTAGCCCAATCCCTTCTACCCCGTAATTGACTACTTTTAATACATCTCAGTGACCGTCGTGGCACGTGCCACGTGAAAAGTCAAGGGTGTTCAAGCTGTTTTGCAAAAGTAGTGATTTTGAGAGGCTCATATCTCAGCAGCCGCTTGAGCGATTGACTTCCGGTAATTTTTGTAGGGCAGCAACATCCCTTCTACCCAAAATAGGATACTCTCGAAGCATGTGGGTCACCCACAGTGCACGTGCAAAATACAACAATAAGAGGTGCCAAATTTGTTCCCATTTCAGTAACTCGGTAATTAGTGGGGCGATTTCGCTGAAACTTGGCATACAGGTAGGCACCCACCAGGCAATGCATTCCCATGTGCCATGTGTTGCGGTTAGGGTGCTACTGCACGTGCGCACGTGCAGGGGGCGTTTCCAGATCTCGAGAACGGCTGGGCCGATTGCGCTCAAATTTGGTACACGGTTGGGGACCAGTTAGTAGGGTGCCGTGCAAAAGTCATTTTGGACCCCGTTTACACGTGCGCACGTGCAGAATGCCGCTTCCAGATTTCAGGAACGGCTGGGCCGATTGCGTTCAAATTTGGCACACCGCTAGCAACCGGTTAAAAGGGTGCTTTGCGCAAGCCCGTTGGAAGCACCCTCTCGCCCTTCCGCACGTGCAGGGCTCACTATCTCGCTCGCTCGTTCTTCGCCCAAAAGGCGTTTTACTGGTATGGAAAAGACTTCGCTTCGCTCGCTGCGCTCGCTCGCTCGTAATGAGCAGCCCGGCCCGGCCCGGCCCGCCCCGGCCTGTAACGCTTTTGAGAGCCTTATATCTCAGCAACCGCTGGACCGATTGGCCTGCGGTCTTTTTGCTGAGTAGCCCCATCCCTCCTACCCCGTAATTGACTACTTTTGATACATCTCGGTGACCGTCGTGGCACGTGCCACGTGAAAAGTCAAGGGTGTTCGAGTTGTTTTGCAAAAGTAGTGATTTTGAGAGGCTCATATCTCGGCAGCCGCTTGGGCGATTGACTTGCGGTAATTTTTGTAGGGTAGCAGCGTCCCTTCTACCAAAAATAGGATACACTCGATGCATGTGGGTCACCCCCAGTGCACGTGCAAAATACAACAATAAGAGGTGTCAAATTTGTTCTCATTTTAATAACTCGGTAATTACTGGGGCGATTTCGCTGAAACTTGGCATACAGGTAGGCATCCACCAGGCAATGCATTTCCATGTGTTGCGGTTAAGGTACTACTGCACGTGCGCACGTGCAGTGGGCGCTTCCAGATCTCGAGAACGGCTGGGCCGATTGCGCTCAAATTTGGTACACGGTTGGGGACCAGTTAGTAGGGTGCCGTGCAAAAGTCAGTTTGGGCCCCGTTTGCACGTGCGCACGTGCAGAATGCCGCTTCCAGACCTCAGGAATGGCTGGGCCGATTGCGTTCAAATTTGGCACACCGCTAGCGACCGGTTAGAAGGGTGCTTTGCGCAAGCCCGTTGGAAGTACCCTCTCGCCCTTCCGCACGTGCAGGGCTCACTATCTCGCTCGCTCGTTCTTCGCCCAAAAGGCGTTTTACTGGTTTATGTATTTGTGTCGATAGATCATCTTACATCCGGGATACGACGAGAATATGTCACAGTTTGTACAAGGCAATGACATAGGGCTGCTGAAGTTACGGACGACACTTACTCTGCCCATCGGGAACAACCGGATCGCGCCGATCTGTCTGCCTTCCAGAAGCCAGTTCATCAATGCAGAAGCAGAGGTCGCCGGATTTGGTATCACGAAGGTATGTGGAAAGGCTACCCGCTTATCCTTATCGACAGAATTTTACTGTATTTATTCCAGAAATAACTGACGTTATATTTAGTTACCTCCCGTAACGCTGTCGGTCTCTCTCTCTCTCTCTCTCCTCTCTCATCTCTCTCTCTCTCTCTCTCTCCTCTCTCTCTCTCTCTCTCTCTCTCCTCTCTCTCTCTCCTCTCTCTCTCCTCTCTCTCTCTCTCTCTCTCTCTCTCTCGCGTTATTTTCCCTCGAACAATATGTGTGCTTGATGTATCGACGAGACCGTTGAGAACATTTAAAGTGTACTTTTCCTGGACAGTACATGGGCGACCCCGTGGTGGACCGGGCCGATCAGCTGCAGAGCGTCAAGATGAGGATCGTCAACAGCGGTGTGTGTGCCTTTATCAACCCGCCGGGGCCCCAAGTCGAACCGAACATGGTGTGCGCCCTAGGAACCACCAGCAGGACTGGAGTCTGTCAGGTGAGTGTCTATCAAGAGCACGGTCGGTGGATTGGGGACTGGGGAGTCAAGACGCTGCCTTGCTCAAAGTTGTGCCTAAAAATTATTATGTAGGGCCAGCTAAGTTCAGCATGCAAGGAGGAGAGAGCAACGAAGACTATGACTCCGTCCTCTGAAACCTCGAGGTCACCGATGACGTCACAGTCAGTCAAAGTAAATTATCGATGATTGGCTTGTTCACATTTTGGGCTCTGGCCGCCGCTGGCTTACAAGTCAATGAGGCTCATTTTTGGTTTACGCACTTGTGAAGATGCTTTAGATACCCTGAGGGTATCAACTTGTACTTTGATTTCCAGGTCAGGGTCAGGTCATTGCAGGTCACGGAAATCTTACATCATGAATTGGTCACGCGACACATGTTTTATGGTTCATTTATGCCAAAATTTCGAATTCGGTGTCGTTTATGCCATTTGAGGTCAATTTGAGTTCAACTAACCCTATTAGTGGCAGGCTCCTGGCTACCCCTATTAGTGCAGGGGGGCTGTTTACGACCCCCCTTGATATCTCGAGATCTAACGGGCCGATTTTCAAATTCAAACGGCATTCGATTTCGCTCAACGTGATCTACATTTCTAAAAAATAAAAATTAAAGAATGTCAATAGGGGGTAGAGGGGGGTAAAAACGGGCAAATTGCAGATACATTTTAGACTGTTTATCACGGCCAGGTTTCTGAACCAACCTTAACGCAACTTTTGCCGATCGATAGAGAATGAACCAGAATTCACATGGATCCTAAAAGTATGCATTTTCAAAAATCATAGGCGGATACAGATCATTGAGATTTGGGGTACACAAAATATAGTAAATAAGGTTTTTGTTGGTACTGTTTCTAAAAAGGGTGGTAATGGTCTTGTTATGTTACAATTTTCTTATGAGAGAACGACTACAATTGTATTGGTCATGCATAGGCGTGTCAGGGCACTTATGTTGGAAGGTAAAACATAACCCCCCTTTTTGGACGCCTGGATCCGCCTATTATAGCAAAAACGTGTCAAAAGAGATGCACAATACTTTGTATATGTTATCACATGATACCTTTCATTCACTGTTCGTAAAAGTACATCAGCATCGTGATCTTCGCCCAAATGACTCGCTTCACGAATAGGACCCCCCAATTCCCAGTGCTCTGGAGCCGCGCCTGGTAAAGTTATGAACTTGAAAATTTTCAGGGAATGTGCTTAATTTAGTTTTAGGAAAAGTCAGAAAATTTCAGCATCGTAGCTTCAGCGGTTTCGGAGATATTCCCGAAAAACCTGAGGGGTGATGAAAACACCCCCCGCCACTAATAGGGTTAAGCTGATGTCAGGTCACTTTCAGGTAAAAAAGTTAAATTTAAAAGTTAAATTTTTGAACGAAAAAGGTGTCTACTGGGGGCAGTTTGAGCTCAGGAACACGATGCTGCTATTTATTTTGGTGTACGATGTCGAATACGTACTGAAAAATCGATTTTAAAAAATATAATACAGTGACATTTTTGCTATAATGCGTATAACCTTCGCTAATTTTGAAGATATTCGGCTGAAACTTGCTAGAATAGGCATGGCATGTGTTCTATCACATATATTCCGTTTTTTTTCCGAATGTCAAAAACATTTGGAAAAAAAGATGGAAATATACTCTAAAATTTCATAAAACTTATATTCGAATTTTCAGATTTTTTAAAATCCCAGGTCGCAATTTGATAGCGCAGTTTATTCTGAGTCCTCTCATGCAAAGAAATTGGATCTAGCCTTACCCGCGCCCCGCTGGGGGGGGGCAGAATCTGCCCCCCCTCCCGTTTTTTCGCCAATAACTTCTAAACGCGTCACGCCAGCGACGTCAAACTTTCAGTACCTTATCATACATCAATTTGACACGTTCCCTGAAATTTGAGCGAAATCCGTCGGAAACTTTTTGAGAAATTGACGTTTTAGTGACGTCATGTTCGCCATTTTCGCCTAAAAAACGGCAAAATTTCAAACGCCGCTAACTTCTTCATTTTTAAAGGAATCAAGACGTACAAAAAGGTTATACGTGATTCTACTTTGTCTATCAAATGGCTATCTCGGTTTTTTGAAAATTTTGGATTTTGACCAAAATTTTTCAAAAAAACTGACTTTTTTGGGAAAATATTTATAAAATCCAAAATTTTGAGTTAATCGAAAAAACCGGAATATATGTCAAAGAATGGTCTATGTGCACCTACATACCAATTTTTAGAAGAATCGGTTCAAAAATGTGGGAGTTATTTAAAATTTTATGACGTCACACACACAAAATTTTTGAAAAATGATTTTTTTTGGAAGTTCTAGACCTCGTACGGAATAAAAATAGCACCATTCGATTCGCCGTGAGAAACTGCATCGGATAGACACCTTTTTAGGCCTTAACAACCAACTTCAAAATTTGACCTCACTTGACCTGACCTTGACCTGACCTCGACCTGAAATTCATCCAGAGGTGGTCCATATCACTTATTGAGTGTGCCTATTGAATTCCATGAGTAAAATGACCCATAAAACATGTGTCGCACCTGCCCTTTTCTATTTGTTTTTGGTGACCTGACCTCCTGACCTGACCGACCTGACCTTGACCTTTGAATGACATTGTGTGCAACGAATATTGTCTTGGTAGTCTAAAACACGTTTTGGGCACAGTCTCAGTCCATTCTTCGGCAACTACGGTGCAAGGCCATACTGTAAAACTTGCATTTTGTACCCTTGACCTGACCTTGACCTGACCTCTGACCTACTTAAGCAAAAAAAATTTGGGGCTTTAAGATCCGCCTTGTTGAGAGCGTTCGATTGCCGTTTTCCCCGTCTTTCTACGACCATCGGTTCGGAAGTTAGACAGGGGGGGCAGAATCTGCCCCCCCCCCCCCAGCAGGGCGCGTATGGCTGAATAGCCCAGCGGGGCGCGGGTTAAGCCTAAAAACCGAGCTCTTGAGAGCGATTGCTGTGGTTCCATGTTTTGCGTCGAAATCGGCCGAACACGGAACATGACGTCACTCTGACGTCATTTCCGGCCGACCTATGGTAGCTACGAAGTTCATATTTTTACACAAGGTGGTATAAAATTGATGCAGCCGAGCATACTGAAAGTTTGGCGTTGATACGTCAAGCGGTTTAGAGGTTAGGTACCTATTGCAAAAAAAAAAACGAGAGGGGGGGCTATGTTCATTGTTCAAATACCTCCATTGGCAAATTTCGTTATTGGAACTGATCATTGATCAGATTCTGATCAGATCAATAGGAGACTTCGTTGCACAGCAGTAGAAGCTGTAAAAAGTGAAAAATATATATGTGAGGGTGAATATCTCCCAAGAGCCGATTATGGACTTTTGTCAGCTTCCGTCGTCCGCTATAGCTGTTAATGGCGGGCCTTGTGTTCGTGACTCTGTTTTGGTTTGCCTGTGTCAAACACACGACCAACAGCCATATCTCCTCTTTGCAGGGCGACTCGGGTTCGGCACTGATGGTGGCCGCTCGGTACAAGAGGTCACGTCGAGGGTTTTCGGCATAACCAGCTGGGGGTACGGATGCGCACCCCCGCTCAGCCCGTCAGTATACGCCCGGGTGCCGTGGTTTTTGGACTGGATCATAGGGAATACGAGAGATGCCGAATACTGCTAACAGAGCAAGCGGAGACAGACTGTGCGTGGGATTAGAGATGGTCGCGTTATTGCGTGCCATGCCAGGTCATGGAGCGCTACTGTGTTGATGATGTGGAGGGCGTTTTGGAGAACCGTCAACCTCGCCCCGCTTGTTCCGCCATCGGTCCCGCTGGTCCAGTCTCCGGTCACCCCGGGTCCAGTAGTGGTCGAGTGGTCAGTGGCCTGCTCGCAGTCCCCGCCGCGCCCAAGGCGTTTGCTCCCGTATGGGATTCGTCAGACTTAGTAGAGGTTAAGACATTCACTTTGTTTGGTTTCATTTTCGGTGGGTGAAAAATAAAAAAAACAAATATTTCGGTTTTTTTAGTTACGTGTTCACTGGTTTAAAAGATGCAAATACAAGGAGACGATATTTACAAAAAGTGACAACATGCAAAGCTGGTTCGTGCTATCAATGATCTGTAACTTCCTCTTAACACTGTTGCCTAAACTGAAACAATCGTTTGGTTCGAATCATCACATCGTTATCGCATCGCAATCATAAGTAAATTTGGTTGCGCGTCCGACCAGTCGGTCTTCTTAGTCCACGTCGTTAGAGACGCGGTCTCTTATATAGAGTCGGTCTGTTATGTGGACACCAGCCGTTGTCTCTTCAGTATCCTTTGTAACGTTATGGACTGTGGCTGGCAAAGATGTAACGGAAGTTGGCACAGATTCAGCACAGATTCAGCACAGCACAGATTCGGTAGGGGGAAAAAAGGCCCCGGTAGAGGGAAACCTTTATGACCCGTTTTCCCCTAGAAATGACGTCACAAAGAGGAAAAAATGGGTATCAATCGAAAGCTCTCGTTTACCCAGACACAGTCCTGCAGGAAAATTCCACTTTTTTCCCATAGGAAAGTTTTTACGGGAAAATCAAAATTTTGGGTCAATGGGGGGTCCCCCCCGATTTCGTTCAAAATCGGCACACAGGTGCCCCACCACCAGCCGAGAAACTTTCCCCAAAACGGTCCCCGTTGCATTGACGTTTAAGGCCCTTAAAGCCCCGTAAACTCGTAAAAAATCCGTAAATTCGCCCTTGTACGGCCAAAAACGGGGCGCTAGGGTAAAAATGGGTATCAATCGAAAGCTCTCGTTTACCCAGACACAGTCCTGCAGGAAAATTTCACTTTTTCCCCATAGGAAAGTTTGTACGGGAAAATCAAAATTTTGGGGCAATGGGGGTCCCCCCCGATTTCGTTCAAAATCGGCACACAGGTGCATCACCACCAGCCGAGAAACTTTCCCCAAAACGGTCCCCGTTGCATTGACGTTTAAGGCCCGTAAAGCCCCCTAGACTCGTAAAATATCCGTAAAATCGCCTTTGTACGGACAAAAAAGTGGTGCTATGGTAAAAATGGGTATCAATCGAAAGCTCTCGTTTACCCAGACACAGTCCTGCAGGAAAATTTCACTTTTTCCCCATAGGAAAGTTTGTACGGGAAAATCAAAATTTTGGGGCAATGGGGGGTCCCCCCCGATTTCGTTCAAAATCGGCACACAGGTGCCCCACCACCAGCCGAGAAACTTTCCCCAAAACAGTCCCCGTTGCATTGACGTTTAAGGCCCGTAAAGCCCCCTAGACTCGTAAAATATCCGTAAAATCGCCTTTGTACGGACAAAAAAGTGGTGCTATGGTAAAAATGGGTATCATTCGAAAGCGCTCGTTTACCCAGACACAGTCCTGCAAGAAAATTTCACTTTTTCCCCATAGGAAAGTTTGTACGGGAAAATCAAAATTTTGGGGCAATGGGGGGTCCCCCCCGATTTCGTTCAAAATCGGCACACAGGTGCCCCACCACCAGCCGAGAAACTTTCCCCAAAACGGTCCCCGTTGCATTGACGTTTAAGGCCCGTAAAGCCCCCTAGACTCGTAAAATATCCGTAAAATCGCCTTTGTACGGACAAAAAAGTGGTGCTATGGTAAAAATGGGTATCATTCGAAAGCTCTCGTTTACCCAGACACAGTCCTGCAGGAAAATTTCACTTTTTCCCCATAGGAAAGTTTGTACGGGAAAATCAAAATTTTGGGGCAATGGGGGTCCCCCCCGATTTGGTTCAAAATCGGCACACAGGTGCCCCACCACCAGCCGAGAAACTTTCCCCAAAACGGTCCCCGTTGCATTGACGTCTAAGGCCCGTAAAGCCCCCTAGACTCGTAAAATATCCGTAAAATCGCCTTTGTACGGACAAAAAAGTAGTGCTATGGTAAAAATGGGTATCAATCGAAAGCTCTCCTTTACCCAGACACAGTCCTGCAGGAAAATTTCACTTTTTCCCCATAGGAAAGTTTGTACGGGAAAATCAAAATTTTGGGGCAATGGGGGGTCCCCCCCGATTTCGTTCAAAATCGGCACACAGGTGCCCCACCACCAGCCGAGAAACTTTCCCCAAAACGGTCCCCGTTGCATTGACGTTTAAGGCCCGTAGAGCCCCCTAGACTCGCAAAATATCCGTAAAATCGCCTTTGTACGGACAAAAAAGTGGTTCTATGGTAAAAATGGGTATCAATCGAAAGCTCTCATTTACCCAGACACAGTCCTGCAGGAAAATTTCACTTTTTCCCCATAGGAAAGTTTGTACGGGAAAATCAAAATTTTGGGGCAATGGGGGGTCCCCCCCGATTTCGTTCAAAATCGGCACACAGGTGCCACACCACCAGCCGAGAAACTTTCCCCAAAACGGTCCCCGTTGCATTGACGTTTAACCCTCGCCCGCACATGCCATTTTCCCATCCTAGAACGCACATGGGGGGGGTGGTTGCCACCCCCCCCGCGCCATTTCGTTCCTGTTGGAGATAGAGCTTAGCAGTAAAGACCAAAAAGATTCTTTGGGAAGAGACGAATCCAATGATACCCAGTTTTACCTTCTCAGGTCAGTCATTGACCTTCCAGGTCAGGTCAAACTAAAAAATGTTGCTGTTTTGGGTCACCGTTGGATATCAAGTGTGCTGCTTATCAAATACCGATGACGATGCTGTTTTCTGGTGCCAAGCCAGCTAGAACCTCTTTGTCACACTACCCGACCAGAAATTTGCTGCTGAGGTCATTTCAGGTCAAGTTAGGTCAAGGTCAATTATATGTGTTTGTATGTCTGTGTGTGTCTGTGTGTATACTGATGTGTGACCGATTGTTTTTGGGTCCATATTACATGAAATCATGATCTGAGAAGCTTTTACCATAAATGCAGTCAAAAAACTTCAAAAAAAGTAAATTCAGCTTGCCTAAAACGCAATTATCTTAGATGACCTAGGTTGACCTTGACCCTGACCTTGACCCCTGTACATCGTCGAACAACATGTTCCATGATAGGTGGGAGGTAAGACAGGCAAAAAAGGCCGAAATCAGGGTGTCAAAAGCTCATAAGGCCCATGGCAAACGCAAGATGTTGAGAATTGGCCATTTGGGTCATGACATGACCTGAAAAACAAGGTCATATCTCCGAAACCAAAAATCACAGAAACTTGAAATTTTCAGTGGACATCAAGAAAGGATAGAGGAGCAGCTATACGAAAAATCAGCCCTCTAGCTCTAAAAATGTTGAGTGCAGAGCAGAAAGACTACCTGGGGGGGGGGGTGGCAACCACCCCCCCCATGTGCGGGCGAGGGTTAAGGCCCGTAAAGCCCCCTAGACTCGTAAAATATCCGTAAAATCGCCTTTGTACGGACAAAAAAGTGGTGCTATGGTAAAAATGGGTATCATTCGAAAGCTCTCGTTTACCCAGACACAGTCCTGCAGGAAAATTTCACTTTTTCCTCATAGGAAAGTTTGTACGGGAAAATCAAAATTTTGGGGCAATGGGGGGTCCCCCCCGATTTCGTTCAAAATCGGCAAACAGGTGCCCCACCACCAGCCGAGAAACTTTCCCCAAAACGGTCCCCGTTGCATTGACGTTTAAGGCCCGTAAAGCCCCCTAGACTCGTAAAATATCCGTAAAATCGCCTTTGTACGGACAAAAAAGTGGTGCTATGGTAAAAATGGATATCAATCGAAAGCTCTCGTTTACCCAGACACAGTCCTGCAGGAAAATTTCACTTTTTCCCCATAGGAAAGTTTGTACGGGAAAATCAAAATTTTGGGGCAATGGGGGGTCCCCCCCGATTTCGTTCAAAATCGGCACACAGGTGCCCCACCACCAGCCGAGAAACTTTCCCCAAAACAGTCCCCGTTGCATTGACGTTTAAGGCCCGTAAAGCCCCCTAGACTCGTAAAATATCCGTAAAATCGCCTTTGTACGGACAAAAAAGTGGTGCTATGGTAAAAATGGGTATCATTCGAAAGCTCTCGTTTACCCAGACACAGTCCTGCAAGAAAATTTCACTTTTTCCCCATAGGAAAGTTTGTACGGGAAAATCAAAATTTTGGGTCAATGGGGGGTCCCCCCTGATTTCGTTCAAAATCGGCACACAGGTGCCCCACCACCAGCCGAGAAACTTTCCCCAAAACGGTCCCCGTTGCATTGACGTTTAAGGCCCGTAAAGCCCCCTAGACTCGTAAAATATCCGTAAAATCACCTTTGTACGGACAAAAAAGTGGTGCTATGGTAAAAATGGGTATCAATCGAAAGCTCTCGTTTACCCAGATACAGTCCTGCAGGAAAATTCCACTTTTTCCCCATAGGAAAGTTTTTACGGGAAAATCAAAATTTTGGGTCAATGGGGGGTCCCCCCCGATTTCGTTCAAAATCGGCACACAGGTGCCCCACCACCAGCCGAGAAACTTTCCCCAAAACGGTCCCCGTTGCATTGACGTTTAAGGCCCTTAAAGCCCCGTAAACTCGTAAAAAATCCGTGAATTCGCCCTTGTACGGCCAAAAACGGGGCGCTAGGGTAAAAATGGGTATCAATCGAAAGCTCTCGTTTACCCAGACACAGTCCTGCAGGAAAATTCCACTTTTTCCCCATAGGAAAGTTTTTACGGGAAAATCAAAATTTTGGGTCAATGGGGGGTCCCCCCCGATTTCGTTCAAAATCGGCACACAGGTGCCCCACCACCAGCCGAGAAACTTTCCCCAAAACGGTCCCCGTTGCATTGACGTTTAAGGCCCGTAAAGCCCCCTAGACTCGTAAAATATCCGTAAAATCGCCTTTGTACGGACAAAAAAGTGGTGCTATGGTAAAAATGGGTATCAATCGAAATCTCTCGTTTACCCAGACACAGTCCTGCAAGAAAATTCCACTTTTTCCCCATAGGAAAGTTTTTACGGGAAAATCAAAATTTTGGGTCAATGGGGGGTCCCCCCCGATTTCGTTCAAAATCGGCACACAGGTGCCCCACCACCAGCCGAGAAACATTCCCCAAAACGGTCCCCGTTGCATTGACGTTTAAGGCCCTTAAAGCCCCGTAAACTCGTAAAAAATCCGTAAATTCGCCCTTGTACGGCCAAAAACGGGGCGCTAGGGTAAAAATGGGTATCAATCGAAAGCTCTCGTTTACCCAGACACAGTCCTGCAGGAAAATTCCACTTTTTCCCCGTAGGAAAGTTTTGACGGGAAAATCAAAATTTTGGGTCAATGGGGGGGTCCCCCCCGATTTCGTTCAAAATCGGCACACAGGTGCCCCACCACCAACCGAGAAACTTTCCCCAAAACGGTCTCC